ACATGGAGCATAATCTACAGGGAACATAATCTACAGGGAACATAATCTACATGGAACATAATCCACATGGAACATAATCTACATGGAACATAATCCACAGGGAATTTAATCTACATGGAACATAATCTACATGGAACATAATCCACATGGAAACCACCTCAGTGCCTCGATGCTCCCTCACTCAGACACTGCGTGAAAAGACCCTCCAGACTGCCAGATTTTCAACCCCAGTAGAAAGTCACAGTGTTTGTCTGTTCTCAACAGGTAGAAGTTGGTGACCAAACTGTGGCTCCACCCACCAGGAGGGCTCGGTCCTGTAAGTGTGTGTTGGCCTTCCTCATCATCATCCTCGTCGCCGCAGGAGCCACACTGGCCTGGTACTTCCTGGGTACAGAGTTTTCCTCTTTTTTACTTTGTTCATCGTCCCCAAGTTCTTTTATAGACTAACGTGAAGTCACGTGACCGTGGTGGAGCTCCTTTACAGACTAACGTGAAGTCACGTGACCGTGGTGGAGTTCCTTTACAGACTAACGTGAAGTCACGTGACCGTGTTGGAGTTCCTTTACAGACTAACGTGAAGTCACGTGACCGTGTTGGAGTTCCTTTACAGACTAACGTGAAGTCACGTGACCGTGTTGGAGTTCCTTTACAGACTAACGTGAAGTCACGTGACCGTGGTGGAGTTCCTTTACAGACTAACGTGAATCACGTGACCATGTTGGAGTTCCTTTATAGACTAACGTGAAGTCACGTGACCGTGTTGGAGTTCCTTTACAGACTAACGTGAAGTCACGTGACCGTGTTGGAGTTCCTTTACAGACTAACGTGAAGTCACGTGACCGTGGTGGAGCTCCTTTACAGACTAACGTGAATCACGTGACCCTGTTGGAGTTCCTTTATAGACTAACGTGAAGTCACGTGACCGTGGTGGAGTTCCTTTACAGACTAACGTGAATCACGTGACCATGTTGGAGTTCCTTTATAGACTAACGTGAAGTCACGTGACCGTGGTGGAGCTCCTTTATAGACTAACGTGAAGTCACGTGACCGTGGTGGAGTTCCTTTACAGACTAACGTGAAGTCACATGACCGTGGTGGAGTTCCTTTACAGACTAACGTGAAGTCACGTGACCGTGGTGGAGTTCTGCTAATTAGCAGTAATCACACTGAACTAAGATGATGACTATTGTAAATTTTATACCCACTATACATCAGCCTGTTAGCATTGAGAGCGTGTTAGCATTTAGCTCAAAGCACAGTCTCGGCTAGCATCGCTGTGTGTTTATTGAACGCTGTGTGGACCTTCCTCTGTGACAGAGTACAGGGTTTGGGTGTTGGAGCCTCGAGTCCAGCAGCAGTACACGGCCTACCTGTCCATCCTCAACAGGAACTTCTCTGCCGATCTGTCCTCTCACAGCAGCCCCGCATTCAAGAAGGAGGCCAAAGGGGTACGGATCATGGTGAGTGGGGACTATGAATTCCTCTGACGCTGATGTAGAATTACCTCCTAAGGGACCAAGATTGCTGCTGCTTTTCTGTGTTTACATGTAGTTTTCACAATGCAAATGAACTACCTGGTGAGGAAGGAAAGCAGCAGTACTCCAAAAACAACTCCATGAAGCCTCTTTTACTACTGGACAAAACCCCCACTAACGTCTGACTTTTGTCTTCACTTATAATCGGCATTAATTCACAGGACAAATGACTCTGCAGCAGTAGTAGGTATTCATCGGCAGTGATTGAAAGTGGTGGAAACCAGCGCTTCCTTTGTCATCTCATGCCACAAACTCTATCCGTCTCCGCCCAACCAGTGCTTAGACATTGTTCTAAATTAGTCAGCAACGAGTTTGAGGAGAGACGGAATCAGATGCAGATATAAAAATGAAGAAACCACCTTATCATGTCTACTGTTTATTAACCCTGTTTTCCGTAAGTCCACTTTTATGATTTTGAACGATGCTTTTTGATCTAACCATAACTAGATTTAAAAGACACATTGACTTGGGAACCGTACATGCAAAAGTCATTTCTTGTTTTTCAGGACTCATTCCTGCAGCTCTCTGTTGTAAACGCAGTCTACAATCCGTGTTTAGCCGGTTCTGACTCCTGTAAACAGGTGATATTGTCTTCCTCTGTCTTTCAGGTAAAGAAGATAATAATGGGCTCCACTCTTTCTCGGTACTTCAACTATACCACTGTGTTCGCCTTTGGGTACGTGGATCTAACTTTTTCATGAACGGTAACAATAACCAGGGAGAATAGCTGCAAGATGAGACATACAGTAGAGCTTCATCGCTGAACCTACACAAAATAATGCGCGGTAATTAATGGATCTTTACAAAATGATTTTGTATGTTATTAACGTAATCATGAACGAGGAAGTATAAAGACCGTAATTTGTTCCCCGTGTCAAACAACATGTCAATGTTGATGTTTTTATCACAGAACTTTAGTAGTTATTTTAATCCTAAACTTAACTAAAGTAGTTTTGTTGCTTTGAAAAGACTGAGGAGCAGAAGGATGTTTAACGGTGATTTTTATAACCAAAACAAAACTTACAAAGCACTTTTAAAGCACATCTGGTTTCTGGCCCCAAAATATACAGAGGAAATGTTGACTTCACACTTCACTTCTTATGTGACGTCGCTTTACTACTTTATTTTTATTTGTTGATTTTATTAAATTATTTTACTAAATTATTTGATTTCATTTAATTGATTTCTTAGTTTATTTGTATCGTATCGACTGTTTTGTTTTATCCGGGTTTAACTCTCACCATAGTCGTCTTTGTTTGTTGGGCCTCACTGAGCTTTCTGTTCTTATTATTATTGCTGCTTTTGCTGCTTCGTTGGTCAAAGCGCTTTGTAAACTGTGTTTTAAAGGTGCTATATAAATAAAGTTATTTTATTTATTATTACGAGGACGATGAGTCCAAAGGTGACGAATTGAAAATCCAACTTGCTAAATCACAAACAAAACAGGATCAGGTAAATAGGCCAACGACACGAGGGACACAAACAGGAAACATTGCAGACGATCCACAAAACAGACGAAAGACAGAAGGACTATAAATACACAAGAAACTAATCAGACCAGGAGACACAGGTGGGCAGACACGAGGGCTGAGAGCTGATTGGTGTAAGAAACACGAGGGAACAGAGCGAGGCTGACGAGAAAAACCACAAAGACAGGAAGTCAAACAAACACAGGACGCAAGAGGCAGAGAACTTCAAAATAAAACAGGAAACAAACTAAACCAAAAACAAGACTGTGACAGTAAGATGATACCTCGAATAACTTAGTTAAGTACTTAAGTAAGTAGTAAGTAGTTAGTACTACGTACTTGAGTACTTAAGTAAGTAGTAAGTAGTTAGTACTATGTACTTAAGTACTTAAGTAACGGCACTTCTGAAGTTATTTTAACACAAACAACGACCTTTTCTTAAACCTAACCAAGCTGTTTTGTTGCTTGTTTCCTGTGAAGACAGTATTTTATTTTGAAAAGATTGTATGCATATAACGAGCGGAAATGGACACGTGTTGCTGGACTTTTGTAGGAGTAACTCATCTTAAAGATAGTGGCTTCACAATGCATCAGCACTTAAAGAGCGACCTAACATCAGCTGAAAATATTGTTTTGCTGACGTCTAGTGGTCAAATTCACTCCCCTCGCTGCAGTGACGTGGCGGTGTACTCTGTGGTACACTGTGACATCACTGATGGGCGTGGTTACAGGTACAGCACACTTGAAACCTTTCAACCAGAGGCACGTGATTTCATCTGCATGGTCCTGGCTTTGTGTCATGCAGGGAGGGGAGCCTTGTGGCTCACTTCTGGATGGTGATGTCGGTGCCGGGTAGCCATGTTGGGAGGGTCACACTGGAGGAGGTCACCAGGAGCCTGGAGGAGGGCCTGAGGGGGTATGGAGGGTCGGGGGAGGGGACGGCCAGCTGCAGCGGATACCTCCTGCACCTCCCCTCGCTGTCTGTCAGTGGTGAGAGTGAGACAGGAGATGAAATGTGTGTGAGCAGGAAAGTGTTTGGTTGGTTTTAAATCGTCTCTTCTGTCTTTTTGTTCCACAGAAACCGACTCCAAAGTTATTGAGCTTTTGAAAGCCTCGTTTGGTATCGCACTATTTTTTTTTTATGTTTTCTGCTTGTGTCAATTAACAATGTGATTGAACTGTGATTAGCATGCAGCCCAAACTGTCTTTGTCATGAGTACTTTCACATAGAACGTGAAAAAGTAACTTAATTGGATTAATTTTCCTGAGCTTTCGCACCACAAATATGGACATCAACCAATCACATATCCAAAATATTCACCGCAGTGTTCAACAAGGCGGCTCCATGAATGAAGAGGGAAAACTTTATTACTCCTTAAACTTTGACAAAGGCAGCGCAGACCTGACCCACCATGGTCGTATGAAGAGGACTGGATTCAGCGTTCATTCCCATGAAAGTTTGACCCCGGTGTATAAAGTTACCCAACGATCTCTGGGCCCACTGAGCATGCTCACTAGCGTTTTCTTTAGCCCCGCCTCCCAGCCCTCAGGAGGAAGGTTGATTTACCTTTTAAATAAACGATCCTCTGAGTAACAGAAGTCTCTTTCTCAGTGTAAGTCAACGGGGGAAAAAGTATTTTTGGGCTTCATGGCGTCACCTGACGGACATGGAAATTGTAATTCCAACATTTGGCCAAAGATTTGTTACAAAACCTGCCGTTATTTCTCTTAACTTTCACAATAAAAGCCCAGGACATAAACACTGCATAACTGTTTACCTTCGTTTGTTCCTCATGTGACACAGAAAGTTGATTTAATTGTCACGTAACTTACGTAAACGACACATCCGTAGTTATTTTAACCCAAACCTGATGTTTTCCGAAACCTAAGTAGTTTTGTTGCCTAAACTTAGCTAAGTTGTTTCCTGTGAAGAGGGAAGTTTATTTTGAAAATAATTTATTCGTGTAATGGGCGTAAATTGTCACGTGTTGCTGGACTTTCGTAGGAAAATGTAGGAAAAATGAACGAGATAAGATATCATACGAACTGTTGTATGAGGATACTTTGCAGAATCTATTCAAACCTTTAATTAAAAAAACAATCACCTCTTCGCATCCTTGGCATGAATAGTTTTGATGGCAATTAATTTTGTGTTTTAATAAATACAGTAAATCCAAACATACAATCAAGGCCTGAATCTACTCCAACACAAAATCCCACATGAGCTCAACTCGAACTCTGTTTTTCTTTCTTTGCATCGTTTCCACCAGACTGTTACCGCTACCAGAAGGTGGTGTCCAGCAGCCCCTCGGCCCTCCGGGGCCCCGACACGCAGCGCTCCTCCTGCATGTGGCACCTCCAGGCCGGCCCTGGATCCCAGCTGGAGCTCCACATGGAGTGGCTGCTGCCGGAGTGCCGGGACAGGCTGGTGGTGTACGACTCCCTCACCCCCTCCGACTCCCACCTCATCACTTCGTGGGTTTCATCCACAGATATATCAGCTGGGACATATCAGGCTAATATTTATGATGTTTTTACCCTTTTTTATTCGCTAAACTCTTGAGTTATCTTCCCGTCTGTCCTCCCAGTGTGTATGGCTGCAGCAGACACGAGCGCGTGGTGAACGTCCTGTCTTCAGGCGAGTGGATGACGGTGGTTTGGAAACAGGGTCTGTACAACTACAAGGACCCCTTCTCTCTGTCTGCACAGGCCTGGGACCGTCAGGGTAAGACCACCTCAACCTTCCTTTGACTAGTTCAGCAATGTTTCATCTGATTGTGGATTGAAAATCTTCTCTCTCTCTCAGACTGTAACTCCACTATAGAGCTGAAGGCAGTATCGGGGGTCCAGGGGACGCTGAGGACGCCCTTCTTCCCCAGCTACTACCCCCCCGACACCAACTGTACCTGGAGCTTTACTGTAAGACCGTCGGACGATTATGAGACAACGGGCCCTCTGTTGTAGTTACGGATCTCTCTGTCTACTTTGTGTGTTTGTGGTCGTTTTTGTGTCTCTTTGTAGTGATTTCATGTCCTTTTTATGGTACTTTAGTGTCTCTTTATAGTTAATCTGGTCTCTTTGTGGTCATTTTGTGTCTCTTTGTGATCATTTACTGTCTTTTTGTCGATGTTTTGTGTCTTTTTGTGGTTGTTCAGTGTCTCTTTGTGGTCATTATGTGTCTCTTTGTAGTTGTTTTGTGTCTTTTTGTAGTTGTTTTGCTCCTTTTCATAGTCGATGTGAGTCTCCTTTGCATCTATTTGTGGACGTTTTATTTTCTAAGCCTCTTCCTGGTTGGTACGTGTCTGTTTGACTGTAGTTGTTTTGTAAGTGAAGGCCCCGCGGAGCCCCTGAGTCTTTGGGCCCCTGGGCCTGTGCCTGTGCCCGGTAGGCCCCGTTCAGTAATCCATCCATGTGTAAGACACTCTGTCGTCCATATGACTCCAACGTTTTGATGTATTGAGTGATTGATTCATTACTTCCTGGTGACCATGCATGTCAGTATGTGTTGTAACGTTGTGTTTTTGTGTTTGCTGTCCTGTGTGATCTCAGACACCCGGTGTAGGGATGGGCTTGTTTCTGGAATTTGAGGGCTACGAGCTGAGCAGAGCCAGCTACAACCAGGCCTGCACCCAGGGACGGTGGACCATCCAGAACCGCAGGTAGGCTGGACCTCGATGAGCTGGCCATTTTGTTTCTTTTTGGTGTTTTGTCTGTGGTTGTTCTGCCCCATTTTCATAGTCATTGTGAGTCTCTTTGCATCTGTTTTGCGTCTCTTTGTAGTTGTTTTCAGTGTCTTTGTGGCCATTTTGGCATTTCTTGCCCAAAATTGCCACTTGCAAAGGCTTTAAAAATGTGCCAAACCTTCAATAGAGATCAACAAGTCTGCACAACACAACTTCTATATAAAACACATCTTAATCTGCATGGATGTTTTATGTCGATGTTCTTGCTTCCTCTTCAGCCTGCTAACCACCAGACACCTCGCGCAGGTGGCAGCAAGAAATAGACAACATGGAAAATAACTAAAATGATTCTCTTGGTACAAATCAGAGCAGAGAGATCAGAAAATGCTTTGTCTTATCAGCTTGTTAAATACTGTGTATTTATAACCGCCACCTATGTGTGACAGGAAGCGTGTGTGTGTGCGTATGTAGAATGTTTCCATACAGGATGTGATGTGTTGACCTTTCAGTTAGTTTCACAATACCTAAAAAACACAAATAGAATGACATATATCTGAATTACACAGTAAAGATGCTCAGTGCTGAACAACAGGGGGCAGCAGAGTCCTCTTTCTTTATTTCAAAGAGGCACTTTACATTATATTTATGTTCAATCTGATACATCTTGTGACAAACTGGGAGTCGAGTGTGGTTCTTAAGGTTCACTCCATGTTATTGAAACTTCTCAAACGTCCACCAGAGCCAGTTGTCTCTGCAGGGACACGTCTCTGGGGTTTGATCCTCTGACTTCAGTGTCTCTGTCCTCCTCTCAGACTGTGTGGCTCCAGAGGCCTGCAGCCGTACAGTGAACGCCTCTTCCTGCTCTCCGCGGTGACCGCCGTCGTCATGAGGTCGGAGGTGTCGCTCACCGGGCCGGGACTTCAGCTGCGCTACGGAGTCTTCAACCTATCAGATCGTACGATGTGGATGTTCTGCTCAGCGACGTCTCTGTTGTGTTTTACTCGTGTTCATGAACACATTTTTGTAATGTGTGTGTGTGTGTGTGTGTGTGTGTGTGTTTTACAGCGTGTCCAGGTCAGTTTCTGTGCTCTGTTAACGGCCTCTGTGTTCCTGCTTGTGATGGAATCAAAGACTGTCCCAACGGACTGGACGAGAGGAACTGTGGTATTTATTGATGTCTTAAAGTAATCGAATGTGTTGTACATTATATTCTGTCGAAGCCAGACGTCAACCTCCGGTTCTTCAAAGCTTCATGTGTTAAACCTGCATTCTCTCTAGTGTCCACCAGGGGGCGACTCCTGTGGTTGTATAGAAGTCTATGAGAAAATGAGTGTGTGTGTGTGTGTGTGTGTGTGTGTGTGTGTGTGTGTGTGTTTCAGTGTGTGTGGCACAGTACCAGTGTCCAGAGGACAGTCAGTGTGTGGACTACTACAAAGTGTGTGACCAACTCCCAGACTGCCCCGAAGCAACGGACGAGATGAACTGCACTGATGGTAACGCACTCAAACCTGCAAACGTGCACGTACACACGCACCGACAGGAGCACACCACACACACTCACAAAATACCAAAATCTAGTTTTCAACATTATATTTTTACCTCTAAACAAAATGTGCTGTGTATCAGAAATGCAACATTAATGAAAAACAATCAACATGAAATGTGGTGTGTGGAGGCTGCAACACTGTGTGTGTGTGTGTGTGTGTGTGTGTGTGTGTGTGTGTGTGTGTGTGTGTGTGTGCAGGTGTGCAGTGTACAGATATGACCTACATGTGCGCTGATGGAACGTGTCTGAAGAAGCCGAATCCAGAGTGTGACTTCGTCAGCGACTGCCCCGACGCCTCCGACGAGAAGCAGTGTGGTGAGACGATAAAGGGTTCATTTATCTGGCGGGTCGGAAACCAGAACTGGTTGTGATCAACTGATGAGATTCTGAAAGAGTGAATCTTTCCTGAGACTTAATGTCAACCTGGTTTTATACATAAAGTGAAAAGAAAGAAAACAACAAAATCTTATTTTGAAAACAAATTCACAAAATAATAATAAAAAACACAATATAATACATTTAAAAAAAGCTATCCAGCAAAAATCTTGGTCTTCTTTTTAACACTACTATGCTGATTATTTTTACACATATTCAGCATTTATTTTCTGTGTTTTAGTATTTCTGTGTGTGTGTGTGTGTGTGTGTGTGTGTGTGTGTACTCAGACTGCGGCCTGAGGCAGTTCTCCAGCCGTATAGTGGGCGGGACCAATGCCACGGAGGGGGAGTGGCCATGGCAGGCCAGCCTTCAGGTGCGGGGAACACACATCTGCGGGGGGGCGTTGATCTCCAGCCAATGGGTGGTCTCCGCTGCCCACTGTTTCTATGACGACCGGTAAGAGACGGGAGGAAGTGGAGGAATGTAACCTTCAAAACAAAGGCGCTCTGATTATTTTTTTCCAGCTAAAGATGTTTATTCATCAAAGCTCTGAAGCAGCTTCAGCATTTTTGAAATGAGTTCCGCATTTTTTTTTACCTTCAGTCCGGCTGCTTGTTCTTTTCTGTTGGACCACGAGCAAATCTACAGCTGCGAGATCCTGCAGAGGATGAACGATTGTGATCGTTTAATGTTCCCTGTATGATCAAAAGCTTGTGTTGTTATTTCAGCGGACATTCGGAAAGAGGAAGTAGCTTTTTGAGAGATAGAAACTGTTGCTCAAGTGTCCGTTGGGTGGAACTATATTTAAAAGTTATTTATTGCCCCTATAAGAAGTCTTTCCTCCTGCAGCCTCTACTCCCCCTCGGTGTGGACCGTCTACCTGGGGAAACTCCTGCTCAACCCCAGCAGCTCCATCGAAGAGGTGGCGCGAGTCCAGCGGATCCACCTTCACCAGTACTACGACGACGAGTCCCACGACTACGACCTGGCCCTGCTGAAGCTGGACCGACCCGCCTCCGCGCTGCTGGCCGGACACGCTCGGCCCGCCTGCCTGCCTCCGCCCGCCCACCAGCTGGAGCCGGGCCTGCTCTGCTGGGTCACCGGCTGGGGGGCTCTCCGAGAGAGGGGTGAGAAGGGAAGGGGAGCGGATACGGGGGGGGGGGGGGGAAGTAGTGGAAGTAGTGGAGGTGGTAGAAGATGGGATTTAGTATTTAAACCAGAATCAGTGGCAGAGATTCACCAGTTCACTCCTTAATCACAGGTTGTATCTCAGAGCTTGTTTCATTTGAATAAATGTTACTATGGAGGGAAGTAAAGAACAGGATCGAGCTGCACCAGCTTTTTAATGAATCCGTCTCTGTGCGCGTGTTCCACAAGTTCTTTGTGTTTCTTTCTTTGGTACTAAATCAGAAATGGCTGCAAAGCAAAAGACATGCACGACAAAAACAACCTGGCAAAGTGTGGGTGCAGACGGGCTGCTAAATATACTGACACTGATCAGTGAAGAGGGAAGCAGGTGAGGATGTGGTCAGGTGAGGGAAGAGGAGGGGAAGAGGAGGGGAAGTTGTGACTGCAGGAAACGAGAGGAGACTGGGACAGGTGTGACAGTCTGGATGGATGGAGAATGGCTACACAAGGAAGTGAGAGTTTGTCTTTTCTCAGATTTAACCTCTGACCCCTTGAACAACGTGTCCTCTGGTGTCAGTTGTGGACGTTTGGAGACGGCGTGTGAGTTTCTGCCTGTTATACGCAACACGCTGTTCTCACCCAGCATTCATAGCGAAACCTACGGAAAGTAATGTGCCACGAAATAATTGTACGTGTTATCCACGTAATCACGAATGAGGAAGTATAAAGACGGCATGAACACACACTCGGCGGGATTAGTCAAACAATCCTTTCCACAACATGTACAAGTAGTTTCCCGTGAAAACAGAAGTTTATTTTGAAAAGACTGTATTCACGCAACGAGCAGAAATTGACTCGTGTTGCTGGACTTTTGTAGGAAAAAGCACGAAAAAATGAGAAATTACTTTCCATAAGATGACACGCGTGTGAGGATACGTAGCGTTGCATGAAGTAACATGTGTTTTGCAGTTTGCAGAGTATCTTTTCAAAATAAACTACGGTTAGGTTTAGGGTTAGATCGCCTTTGGGTTACAGTATGTTTGTTATGTAACTTGCGTACGTGGTGTTAGTTTAGTACGTTGGTTGCGTAATAAAAGTAATCTAAAACGGGTCAATGTTGGGAGTGAGAACAGGTCATCACAGTCATTCTTTAAACAAACACTTTAAATGCTGCAAAACCGCCGTCGATTCAACGTTTTCCTCAGAACTACAGGTAAAGGAATTGTTTTTCATCCCATTCCCATTATCATTTCCATTTGACCGCCTTGTAAATGTGCAGGTTTATCACCAGGAGACATTTTAAGATGGACTGTTATTTGGTGCTTTTGACTCTTTCATAAAGGTTGATGTCCAAAGTTGTTTTTATTTCTGTCACAGGATGAGCAGTCAACTTTTTTTCCGATGGCTTATGGTATTTCGCAGAATAATGCAGTATTTTCGCAGGAAGTGATTTTGTGTGCAGCCAGTAAAACCCCCATATCCTCAGTAGCACTTTGAATTAGAGGGTTGAAACCAGCTCGTTTAGATTAGACACGCAGGAGGAGATGGAGGGATGTGGGTGAAGAGAGTGGGTTGTGGTTTCTGATGAACAGAAGATGGCCGTTTGAGACAGAATGTGTTAGAAACCATCCTCAGAAACACAGTTTCACAAACATTTCAAGAAAAGCTGAGGTGGATTAGATGTTAAAGTGCGGTTACGAGACTATATTTCAAGTGAAGTGGTTTCTTGTCATTGAAAGGGTGAGAACGTCGCTGCTGGTTGAGAACCGGTAACATAAACACGTTTAGTGGTTTCTGTTGAAGCTGTAGAAATCATGTGATGGCTTTCTGTGACATAATTGACTGTTGCTTTTGAATTTCAGCTCTCTGTGGACTTAAGAAACCTTTTTCGTTTTCCATGTAGCCAAATACAGCAACACCAGGAAGGGGTAGTGAATGCAGACGTTGTCTTCATTGTATAAATGGAAGAGAAAGAACATGTTGTCAATCTTTTGGGTGTCACCCGTTGACCCTCTCTGAACCCTCTCCTCTTCAGGCAGTGCCAGTAATGTGCTTCAGAAGGTGGATGTTCGCCTGGTGAGCGAGGAAGCCTGCGTTCGCTCCTACGGCCACCTGGTCACTCCCAGAATGCTTTGCGCTGGTTACCGCAGTGGAGACAAGGATGCCTGTCAGGTACAGAGAAGCATGTAAAAAGTGAACCAGTATATATAGTGCTCCCTTTTCATTTCATCACAATGCAGTTTGAATTTAAAGCTGCACTATGATTTTATGTCCTTGGTGGATTAGATTACTGCGTGAAATAAAAGGTGAAACTCCAACCCAGTCGACAGAAATATCGGCATCGTACGTTTCTGCAAACCGCGGTTGGTTGACGACGTTTCCAGACCAAAAATAAGTTTGTATCAGGCTCATGTCACTGTTCCAGAAACGCACAATTCCATGTCGTTAAAGTTGTGAAAAGATTGGTACGGTGTAGGCAACACAACTACAACGTGAGGTAACAACGTAACCTAACAACATAATGTAGCAACATTAAGTAACAATGTAACGCAACAACATAACGTAACAACATAACATAACTACTTAACGTGACTACTTAACGTGACTACTTAACGTAACTACT